TGAGCAATCAAGCCATGAAAAGACATGGAGGAATGTTAAATGCATATTGTTAAGTGAAAGAAATCAGTCTGAAAAGGCTATATACTGTGTGGTCCAGCAGTATGACATTTTGAAAGAGGCAAAACTATAGAAACAGTAAAAGAAAACCAATGGCTGTCATGGATGGGGTTGGGAAGGGGCAAAGAAGGATTAATATATGGAATAGAGACAATATTTTAAGGGAGAGAAACTATTTTGTATGATACTGCAATGGTGGATACATTGTATTGTGCCTTTGTCAAACTCCATAGAACTGTATAACATAGAGAGTAAATTTTAATGTCAACTGTGGACTTTAGTTAATGATAATGTCTCAATATTGGTTCATCAAATGTAGTAAATATGGTAATAATCGGGGAAACTGCTGAGAGGTGGGAAGTGGGGAGAGGATGAGATGAGTATGTAAAGCTCTGTATGTCTGCTCAATGTGTCTGTAAATCTAAAACTGTGCCACAAAATAAAGAAATGCATGTGTATACATATATTTCCAAATTTGACTCAAGAAAAAATAGAGGAATCTTACAACTTCTAGAAAAAAAACATTTAAAAGTTGTTAATCTCAGAAGAAAAGTATGCAATCCAGACAGTTTTTCAGGTAATTGCTTTTGGGGCTTTGCTATAGACTGAATATTTGTGTTCCTGGCAAAACTCATATGCTGATGTCCTGTCAATTTTATAGTATGAGGGGGTAGGGCCTTTGGGAGATAATTAGGTTATGAAGGTGGAAACCTCATGAATGAGATTAGTGCCCTTATAAAAGAGACCCCAGAGTGCTCCCTTGTCTTATTTTTTGTCTTTTTTTTTTTTTTTTTTTGAGACAGAGTCTCACTCTTGGGTTGGAGTGCAGTGGCATAATTTTGGCTCACTGCAACCTCAACCTCCAGGGCTCAGGTGATCGTCTTACCTCAGCCTCCCAGGTAGCTGAGACTACAGGTGTGCGCCACCATGCCCAGCGAATTTTTGGGTTTTTTGTTTTTTTTTTTTTTGTAGAGACTGGATTTTGCCATGTCGCCCAGGCTAGTCTTCAACTCTTGGGCTCAGGCAATACACCTGCCTTAGCCTCCCAAAGTGCTAGAATTAGAGGCATGAGCCACTGTGCTTAGCTCCCTTGCTTCTTTGGCCATGTGAGGATGAATGAGAAGATGGCATTTGTGAGCCACGAAGTGAGCCTTCATGCAACACCGAATCTACCAGTGCCTTAATCTTAGACTTCTCAAACTCCAGAATTATGGGAAACAAATTTCTGTTGTTTATAAGCCACCCAGTCTATGGTATTGTTATAGCATCCCAGACTAAAACAAGCTTTTGAGGAACAGATATTTCCTATGCTATACAATCTATACAGAGCATAGGAACAGATGGAATGTTTCCCAGCTAATTCAGGTCTTAAAAACAAATAAACAAAAAAGGTCTTTTTGTAGTTTAACTGTGATTACCTTTGTCATTACACTTTTCTTTCTCCATATTTACTCTAGCCAAAGATATTGTTTACAAAAGTATCTATTTTCAGGGCAGCTTCATGGGGCCTGTAACGAGAAAGAGGCAAAACCATGGTGGGCAATCAAGTGGTGGCTCCATGGCAGGGCCACTGAAACTAATAGCTCAGCTAGAACCATAGCCCTTCCAAAGCCCGACATGAGCCAGGGCTTGGAACATCTTCTACAGGCTATCCAGGACTTCAATGAGCAACAGAATGTTGCTGAATATTAACTGCAGCTGTTCGGGACTGAGACGCCCAGCAGACTGCATCAACAGCTGACACTGCTCCCTAATGATATGTGTGTCACTCAAATAGCTGGTCTCTAGAATTAGTTTTAAATGCAGTCATTAAATAAAAAGTCCTCATTAATCAGGATTCTCTAGGGGTGAAGATGAACCTTAATTATGAGATTTGGGTTTTGTATGAAAATATCTCTGTGTACTTGCCCTGCCCTGGGTCCCTATCTGTTGTTATTTTCCTACATGAGTAAAATTCCCAGAAGGATCCAGAGTGTACCAAACACCACATAGGCCAAGCCTTAAAAAGATCATTTTTCTGAATTCCTTGGCCTCCATATGTCAGGAAACCAAAAAGCTGGCAGGACTACTAGAATTTAAGCCCCATCCCCATGCTTGTACTGTAGATTATCCACAGAAGTAGGGGCTGGTGCTGGACAGGCACCAGTAGGAGGGGTCAGAGATTACTGCTATCAGCAATACAGAGGAAATGCATATTCTGGAAGGGGACAGGGAGGTGATGACTGGAAGAGCAAGTTCCTGGATCTCCTTTGACCTGGGCTTCTGAATATGCTGGGGCAGTGGTCCCCATCCTTTTTGGCACCAGGGACTGGTTTCATGGAAGACCGAAGGGGCTGGTGGCGGGGTAGGGGGTGGTTTCAGGATGAAACTCTTCCGCCTCAGATTATCTGGCATTAGTTAGAGTCTCATAAGGAGCGTGCAACCTAGAGTCCTCGCGTGCGCAGTTCACAGTAGGGTTGGCGCTCCTTTGAGAATCTAATGCGGCAGCTGATCTGACAGGAGGCGGAGCTTGGGCAGAGATGCTCCATCTCCTGCTGCTCACCTCCTGCTGTGCAGCCTGGTTCCTAACAGGCCACGGACTGGTACCGGTCCGTGGTCCGGGAGCTGGGGACCCCTGTGCTGGGGCATGGATGCAGCAGTCTTCAGCTGCATTTGTCCTTCCTGGCAGGCTTCTATGGGTGCCAAGACATGTCAGTAGGGCTGAATCTGACATCTCTCTGAAGTACCAGAACACCATTAGGGACAAAAAAACACCAGGGCTGGATTAGTGGTCACAGCCAGGGTCCAGGATGCCTAAAATATAGCAGGGACATCTGTCCCTTGAAAGACTTGTACACAATTGAAGAAGTTCAAGTTGATCATAAGGCACTAACCAGTGGCCTCTGTTCTAGGAGTCGTTGGAATCACTACCCTTGGGACCAGGGGCAGTCAGGGGAGTTTTGGAGAGGAAAATTGAATCATAAAAGAGCATAATTACAAGGCAATTTAGGGGAAAAAGAGAAGGAGACAATGGATTAGCTAGAGGTCCCTGGAGCTCAGAACTAAAGGCAGGGGAATTCAGGGTGGGAGGAAAGGACCTGTGGTGAGATCATCAACTGCAGTGTCTTGAGAATAAAACCCAAATTGCCATACACACCCTGAGACCATCTAGGTGCCCCCTTATGTTATCTCTGTAGCTCCTTAACCTTTCCTGTGTCCCTGAACTCATCTCTATTTATTTCAGTTTCCTGCAGTAGAATTCAGTAGTTTTATTCTTGTGATGGTCAAATAGTTGTCTGTGGGGTCATCATGACTGACTTAGAACAGAGAGTTCACCTGCCTCACCAGGGACAATGCATCTCTATTCAGTGAGGGCCACAGAGATTTACTTGCCAAGCAGCACCTCACTCATGCTGGCCATCTACAGCCAGAGCAGCAGATCTTTGTTCCTGCACCCAGGTGGGCACCTGAAAGTTGGATCATGGACCACTCCAGCCCCATAACACTTCTTCTGATTCAACTCAAATGCCCAAATTCATATCAGACGTCATACTAGACAACACACTTTGGCTGCTCTCCCAGAAACTAAGAGACTTATAGATACTTACGGAATGTGAACTTCATGCTGCTAGGCTTCAAGCTCTTACATGTAGATTAGGCTCTTTATCCTCAGTAAAATGGTGGAGCCATGATTTGTATTCAGAGATTCTGACATGTAAACACTACACTGCACTGCCTGGTGTTCTGCTCACTGCCCACAGGCTGACTTTACCTCTCCACACATTTGAGTCTGCTGTGATCTTTTCTTCCTTTCCTCTTTCTCATTTGCAATGGGAACTCTCCAAAGAGAAATTACTATTGTCCACGGCAGCAAGCTCAGCATTTTGGGAGTTAGAGGGTCCTGGCGGCCACTTGGTGGCAGCCTTAGGACTATAGCTACTGGAAGCAAGGTTACAACTAATTTCTCAGTGAATTATCTGTGAAAACGGGGAAAGGAGGTCACTGGTTAACCACTGGATATAGGACACATCACTAGTGCTCTGTTGGACATAATAAAGAAGAAAATATTGTGTTTATTTTCAAGATATTTGCAATCCAGTTATAAATATTATATATGTATATATTTATACATATGTATATACACACACACACACAAACACACAATGCCTTAAAATAACTTCTAAGCAGTATACAGGTAAGTTCAAAAGAAAAACATACATTGTGCAGAAGCTCAAGGCATTATAGACAGAAGGATTAGTCAGAGTGTTATGTGCTTAAAAAATTGCCTCTTAGAATTTACTTTGGATTAAAGTTTTGGAAGAGGGTGAACATATGGGCATATGGGGGCAGGGTGGGGCAGGGGAGATGTGGCAGGAAGGGCATCAAATGTAGTGGAATGACTTATGCAAAGGAATTAGGTTATCTGTCCCTCTTTTCATAATTTTCATGTCCATTTTGGTGGTTTGGGCTTGTCTTAAGGCAGCATATTTCCAGAACAGATACTTCCTCAACAACCTCTAATCAAAGCTAGTTAGAAATGACTCAGCTTCAGTGTCATGGTTCTAAGCAAGCTAAGGCCTACTTGGGAGGTTTACTGAATTCAGACATAGCCCCAGCTAAGAAATCCCTCGAGAGACTTGCTCAAAATTGAGGAAGCTCAGGTTTATTTTAAGGCACTTATCAGGGATAAGAAAAGTTCCTGTCACACAATAGGCAAGCTCTACAGCCAACAAAAGGGCTTCCAAAAGTAGGTGATGGAACCATTTAGCAAAGCATTCTCCCACAGAATCTGGCACTTCTGGCTGCATCAATTCTCTATTTCTTTCTAATCAGGTTCAGAGTCAAACCAATGCTTCCATCCTTTATTTTTTGGAGACAGGCTCTGAAGTTGGAAAGGTCAGGTGCTTTAAGCACGAAGTCAGGCAGCATGATGGTGGTGCTTCAGAAGAAAAGTTTTGTGAATCATGGGTATCTCCTCTGGAAAATGTGGAGATACCTGGTCACACACTGATACCCTCTTCTTGACTAGGGTCTACCTGCAGAATGCAGCTGCAGCAGATACTAACCGGGGTCCTATCAGTGCTCAGGACAGAGGAACTGCCGCTCTGTGAATTGTGTGGGCTCTGTTCTGGTTTTCAGAGGAGGCCAATATGACCTTGATGTGTATTTTCCTGCCCAGCTCTAGGCCTTTGGTCTCTGCAGGTCCCTGTATGTAGTCCATTCCTGAGGTGCAGGTGATTGAGATTTGAGGGTCTGTTCTGCCTGTGGAGATGCAGGCAAGGTGCTTCCTTGCCTCCTGCTTGATTAATTTTGGAATGAGGAGTGAGCGTGGCAGGTTGAGCCTTAGGAAGACTGAAGATGTAGAATGGATAGATGTCATGGTTCCAGCTTTCTCAGAGGCATCAGAGATTCCTGCTCCTGCCTTGGTGTTAGTGCCTCAATGCTTGTCTTTCAGCTCTCACTGAGCATCCTGAAGCATCACTATAGTTTGCCCAAAGGTAGGGAGGGCTGAGCAGGAACGCTGGCATATTGGGGAGCAAGAGAGCTAAAGGAGCCAGCCATCCTTGCATGAAGAATGGCAAGGATTGCCTCCAAAGCGTGGTTTCTGGCTGGGAACTCCTTTTCTGATAGATGAAGAAATCCCTGTTAAAACTCCATGTCTACAGGAGCTAGAGATGTCAGAGCTATTTGACTGAAGGGCTTAGAGTTGGCTAGGCTCTAAAATCAAGGCATCTGCTAACTCCAAGAGTCTTCCCTCACAGAATCAGCAGACTCTGGGTCCTTATGGAGCTCATGGAGCCAGGAATGAAACTCTGAAATCCATCCATAATGAGCAATGTGTCAGGGAAGGCCCAGATAGGAGGGCTGGGTCTCTATGCTTGGATCCACATGCCCTTTCCACTTTTTCAAAGAGGATGGAACTATGACGAAACAGCGGCAGCATTCATTCCATAAGAACTCAGGCACTATTACTCTATGAATCATTACTGAGCATTTATAATAAATGAAGAAGTCATATGAGGAGCAATGACGACTTTCTCAGCCTGGAGCAACTACAGCAAGGGGCATAAGGAATTTAAAATCAAAGAAAATTCCTAGGAGGCGTGACTAGAAAGCTGTTACTCGGCATTCATTCAACAAGTACTTAACTAAGCACAGACCTTGTGCCAGACACTGGTGTGGCTTATTCTTGATCCAGGATCTAAGAAAGAATCATAGTCCTGAAAGCAAGCTTTGTGAGGGGGATTTCTCCAGCCTATCAAAGTGAGGAATGTTACTGTCATGTATCTTAGGAGACAGGTGGCAGGGCCCTCTTTGGGGAGTTCTCAAGTACACAGATCTAGTTAATGGGTTAATATACCAGCACAAAAAGGCCACTGTAACTCAAATCACATATCAAACTGACATCTCAGATATGCTTTACAGGCACGTCCATGGAGTGTTCCACTAAGGTTTACCCTAACAAAGAACATCACCAGGATTTAAAAACACTCGCCGTTATTGCTGATACAACCAGTAAATGTGAAGATTTGCATGTAGAGCAGATATTGTGAGAAAGTCTACGGATTCCCTAATTGTCTCTAACCTTGTCCTAGATGTGTCCTGTTTAATACACTTCCCTTGATCTTTATCAGGAGATCTTTAACATTTGGGATATTTTCTAGATTTACTACTTTAGAGTCCTAACCATATTGTTTAGAAAACTGTATTCAACCTAGAGTCAAAACCAAGTTGTCAACAGGTTTTGTATAACCAGCAGTTTAGAGACCCGCTTTTGACCCCACAAGGGAATTCAGCCTGAACCTCTGCTTCCTGCCCTGTTCTTCTCTACCTTCCAGACAACCAATCTTCTCAGTCCTCTCCTTCAAACAGATTTTAATTCAGCTGACAGGCACAAGAAATACAGGCTGATTAATATAAATGAGGGCTGCATAATTCATAGATTTAGTAATGAGATGTCTTATAAAAGTTTTGTAGGAAACAGGTGTTTTCTCCTAACCCTGGAAAATTATTTTCCATTAAGATATGTGACTTTCTTTTTATGCCTGTGTGGCACTGAGGGATGCATATTCTAGAGATGGCCATCGAGGACCTTGCCTCAACTCTCTTGTCTTCTCTAAGTCATATATGGGCATTCTGTGAAACCGATTTATTCATTCCATATTAATTCATTTAACTTATTTTGATTCGTATTTCTATTCTGCTTATTGTTTATTCTTGTGAGCATATTATATGAAAATTCAGAGTACTTAAAATTGTTTGGATATCTGAATGGCAGGGCAAGTACACTTTTGCACATGTGCTAGACAAATCCACGCTTAACAAACAGTTACTGGGTGCTTCCTAAATTATAAACTGGTTTAACAGATACAATACTTTTTCATTTCCTCTGCCTGGAACATTCCCCTTCTACTCCTTCAACTGTCAGTTCATCCTTCAGTTCATTGTCTTAGGTGTTTCCTTTGAACATCTCCAGAACTAAGTTATTGACTCTCACACACAAATCCCTACCTGCAAAACAATAGTCATCATACACACATTTATTTTTTAAATGTTTCTGTCTTTTACTGAGATGAAACCTCCACTAGCTGACTCTTACCTGTTTTCTGCATTTATTACAGTGTCTTTTACCTTATAAATGCTTATAGATGCTCATTGAATGAATAGATGTGTTTTAGAGTTTAATATCTCTGATATAATAGATTCTTGGTCAAACACTGAGAGCTCAGTCATTTAGCTAATTGAGCATCTCAGAGTACATAATAAGAGGACTAGAAAAAGTTATAGGGCACCATTCTGCCCTCAAGAGGGCCTCCATAAAGTGGATGGGCCATTTGCATACAAAGAATTAAATGCCTACACATATCCCAAGTACCAAAAGAGTGGGTGAGTGAATGAATGATTAAATGAAATGAATAAGCAGATCATTTTAGAGTTATATAAAATGAGCTTAACCTTGGACTATTTTATGTTTCTCATCTCATTTTTTACATCCGTGAAATGGAAACTATCAATGTTCCTATTTAATAGGGTTGTGAGGGTTAAATAAGATAATGACTGTAAAATTCTTAGCACAGAATCTGGTACATATCACACAACAAATGTTAAAAGTTATTTATTAGTAGTAGTATTGTTATTCTTATCATTAGGTTCCTGGGAAGGGTCAGGTAGGATGATTTGATGAAGGATCTATAAATAACATGTTATTACATTCTCAATAGGCTCGACAGGGGACCAGTTATAAAAGACTAATGCTGAAATGATTATCTTTGATTGGCAGCTCTCAAGCACTTAACTATTAATGAGGAACCCAAAGAACTTTTATTTAGATGAGTTATATTCTAGTGATATGCTGGTAAATGTTTAGCAACCAGAAGTGTTACTGCAGGGGAAAATTTTGGACTTGTAGTATTTACTTATTTCTGTGATATTACCATTCCCACCATCTCACCATGTCTAATTTCAAGCTATCAATATGCCTTCATCGAACGTGGAGAGATGTGCAGGAACACACACACACATACACACACACACACACACACAATTTCCCCCATACAGATGCAGTAAACATATTACTTTGTTTTAAGTATGATGTATTTAATCATAAGCTTATATAACTTTTAAATTTAACCAACGTCCATACGTTATTCAGATTTCCTTACTTTTTACCTACTGTCTTTTTTTTTTTCTGTTGTAGAATCTCATCCAAGATAGCACATTACATTAGGTCGTCATGTCTTCTGTTAAATAAAATTTATAGGAGACCACTGATTTGGACTAGGGTCCTACACTAAGTCCAACACGCCAAACCAATATGGAGTTTAACTATAGCAGCTGAGCTTTAGTTGATGGCAGGAAGTTCTGTAACCAATTAGCCAGTAAAGTTGAACGAAATAAGTTGTCTCTGCATTGCACTTCCATTTCCTATAACTCATGTCAGATAATGTTATTGGTGGGCATTCTCTCAATCCACTCTGGCTTGGAGGGCTGCCAGATTCACAGATCATTCTTGTTTTATTTTGTTTTCCTTCGTTTTGTTTTGCTGTTTTGTTTTTCTTTGCTCAAATAAACTTAGTTAAAATATAAACTTGTCTAAGGTTTTTTTTCCATTCTCTATTCTGTTCCATTGGTCTCTGTGTCTGTTTTTGTACCAATACCATTGTTTTGATTACTCTAGTTTTGTAGCATCATTTGAAGTTGGGTAATGTGATACCTCTGACTTTGTTCTTTGTGCTCAAAATTGCTTTGGCTATTTGGGCTCTTTTTTGGTTGCATATGAATTTCATAACAGCTTTTTTCCAGTTCTGTGAAAAATGGCCTTGGTAATTTGTTAGAAATAGCATTGAATCTGTGGATTGGTCTGGGCGTTATGAAAATGTTAATGAAATTGATTCTTCCAGTCCATGAGCAAGGAATGTTTTTCCATTTCTTTGTGTTGTCTATGATTTCTTTCAGCAGTGTTTTGTAGTTCTCCTTATAAAAATATTTCACCTCCTTGGTCAGATGTATTCTTAGGAATTTTATTTTATTTTTTGTAGATATTGTAAACAAGATTGTGTTCTTTATTTGGCTCTGAGCTTGCGTGTTATCAGTGTGTAGAAATGCTACCGATTTTTGTATGTTGATTTTGTGTCCTGAAACTCTATTGAAGTCGTTCATCAGGTCTAGGGGTCTTTTGCAGAGTCTTTAGGGTTTTCCAGGTATAGAATCATATTGTTAGAAAAGAGAGATAATTTGACTTCCTCTTTTCCTATCAGGATGCCTTTTCTTTCTCTTGCCTGATTGCTCTGGCTAGGACTTCCAGTTCTATGTCGAATACAGGTGGTGAGAGTAAACATCTTTGTCTTGTTCTGGTTCTTAGGGAAAATACTTCCAGCTTTTGCTCCTTCAGTATGATGTCGGTTATGGGTTTTTAGTAGATGGCTCTTATTATTTTGAGGTGTGTCCCTTCTATGCTTAGTTTGTTGAGTGTGTTTATCATGAAGAGATGTTGGATTTTATCAGATGCATTTTCTGCATCGATTGAAATAATCACATGGTTTTCGTTTTTAATTCTGTTTCTGCGGTGCGTCACATTTATTGATTTGCATACACTGAACTAACCTT